CTCCCATTTAACTCTTTTTTTTAATTGTAGTAAAATACACATAACGTAAAATGTACCACCTTAGCCATTTTTAAGTGTACAGTTAAATACATTCTCATTGCTGTGCAAACATCTCCAACATCCATCTCCAGAAATCTTTTCATCTTGTAAAACTGAAACGGTACCCATTAAACAACTCCCCATCCCCCCACTATTTAACTCCTAATCAGAAAATCCTACAAAACAGAACTTCCCATTCTTTAAATATTTTCTCTAGGGTTTCATTCTCATAGAGAGTACAGTTAGGACTATATGCTTTTTATGATTTAACTCATGTTTAAGGCCAGTTTTTTATCGTGCTCAGGAAAGACATGCTACATGGTTCCAAAATGTCTTGTTTAACCCTCAAGTATCTGCATGCCAATGCCGACGGGCATTATGGACTAAACGATTGTGTCCTACAAAATTCACGTGTTGAAATCTGATCTAATCCCCAGTGTGACGCTGGAGCCTTCATGAATTGAATTAGGCCCCTTTTAGAAGAGTCCAAAGACCTCGCTTTTTTTGCCATATGAGGATCCAACAAGAAGTCAGCAGTATGGACATTGGAGGAGATCTCTCACCAGAACATGACCTCGCTGGCACCCTGATCTTGGACTTCTATTATCCAGAACTGTGCAAAACCTATTTCTGTTCTTTATAACCCATTCAGGCTATGCTACTTTTTTATAGAAGCCTGGACAGACTTCACCACAGGTGACCAATCAATACAGTTAGTCTAAATTGAATTGGAAGCTGCAGACATCTTTCTTCACTTCCTCCAAATCAGTTTATACCATTAATTAGGATTAGAGCTGTTTTTACAAGGATCTTGGAGATGACTACCCATAAAACCACATTTTAAAATCTTTAAAGCACTAGGAAAAATGACTACCTAAGACTCTATCAGAAAAACACTCATGACGTCCCAGAAATGAGCATCCTATCAGTCAAGCTGAGCCTTTGTGGTGCAATAGTGAGCAGTTCCAAGGCTGAGGCTGAGGCGGGCCAGCTGGGGCCTCGGTCTCGCCTAGCAGCAAGGCCTGAAGAGCGGTGCTGCTCTGGAACATTTGCAGCCCCAGCGTAAGATGAAGCTCTGTGTCAGTCTTTCTTGGTTCTGAGTCATTAGTTCCAGGGTGGGAAGGCATTAGAAAACTTTTCAAGCCACAAACCACATATCTTAGGGAGATGGCTAATTAAAATTCACCCTAAACTGTGATAGAATTAACAGACATTAAATAATCATTATTTATAATTGGAGAATCAAGTTACCCAAGAGGAAAAAGGCAAAGCTCAGATTGCCTTGGTCAATGCTTAAATTGGAAAAATAAAAGGATAAGTAGTTCCCCAAATGAACAAATAACTTACGTTCGCAAAGTTAGTAACCTAGAAAGTGTTTTTTTTCTGGGGAAGCAATATTACAATTGTGATTGGGATCGTCCTTCTTGAAAGAGCCCACATACATGATGTCACCCACATGTAGCCCGAGGGTAGGGCAGGCTGAGCTCTGGAATAGTGGCCAAGGGGTAACGGAGCTTAGAGGGGAAATGACATCAAGTTCTTCCTTCTTTTCCTGGCAAAGCACAGACCTAGGGGAATTTTTTTTAATGGATTTGGTGTTTTTGTTTTTTCTTTTCTATACCTATTTCCCATCTTCTGGTACTTCTCTCACAAGGCTTGGGTTCTCTTACATGACCTTAATTTCACTCCTCTCCCAACTGGGCCCCCATCCTGGCCAAGCCAACCTCAAAAGCATATTCCTCAGGGCAGATGACCCACAAGGGCAGGTGATTCAAAGCAATTGGGTCAAACCAAGATATGGATCAAATAAGACTTCCTATTTCCTGTTTTGTCCTAAAATGTTAGCTTTGCAACATTTAGCCCCTAAAGAGTCAAAGAAATGCAAATAAAACATGAAAATATATTTTCACCTGATGGGCTAAAAATGTCAAAGAGAATGAGACCATCCAGTGGGAGAGGCTATGGAACACTAAGCACTCCCAAGAGCCTCCAAGATGGTGTAAACTGCTCACAGGCCCTCTAGAGGGTGCTCTACCTCTGCAGGTCCAAAATCTTCAATCAGATAAAGTGCAACCACTAAGAACTACACAAAAGACACAGTCAAAGATGTGCACAAAGATGGATGTGCACAGAGATGTTTAAGATGTCACTTTTTACAATAGAAAAAAATCAGTCATTTACTAATTTACATAAATGTCCAGGAAGAGCAGATTGTAAAGTAAATAAAGGGACTTCCATGCAATGAACACCATTATGTAGTACATCATAGAAACATATTTATTGACAGAAAAAAATTTTCATGATCTACTGCTAAGTAAAAGAAAAGAATAGACTAGAAAACATATAAGGCATTATAGAATATATATAATTTCATATTTTAGAATTTTATGTTTCATGTATATAAAATTATATATAAATTGTATTCTTTACAAATATATAAAATTATATATTTATACACAAAATACATATAGTTTATATATAATTTTATAATTTATGTATATATGTTTAAAAATAAATAAAATATTAGAAAGATAAGCACAAAAATGTAAACAGTGATTAGCTATTTTCTTTTTCTTTGTGAATCTCTATGATTTTTTAGAATCTGTACTAACCATAAAGTCAAGTAGAACATTTTATAATTACTTAGGAAAATATTTTTTTAATTTAATGCAGAACACTAAAAACAACACTAACATTAACAGCTCCACTAGAGATATGCTAAGAGGGAGTGGGAGGTAGAAGCTGTTAGTTGTAAGTATTGAGAGTTTGAAAGTGGGAGACAGTTGCTTGTCTCTATATGATATTATTATTTAAGATAACACTCTCCCCAATACACACACACACCTCAGTGAATACCTGTTGGGTGAAGAAGAACAAACAAAGGAAATACCTCATCCTTGACAATACATTCCTACCAATGCACGGTTAGTTTCACTTGTATACTTTTCCCAAAATATTTAACTGTTCCCTCTACTATTAGAAATACTGTACACCCAGATGCCTTTAGAACACTTAAAATCATGTAAATTATTCCTGGGGAATGTTTAAAAATGCATAGTATTTACTCCTGAGAGACCATGAAAACATCTTTCCAGACTGCACCAGACTATTCTTCTGTGAATCGAGGATTTTAATTTCTAAGATGCAAAAGCAATGCTTTGTGCTCAGATCAATAAAAGGAAATGAGCTACTGTGGTTTGTCTGCCTTTTAACAGACCCTCACCATACTTATTCACAGTCCTGAGTGTATCAAAACTCCATTTGTAAATTAAACTAGCTTGTCTGACACGGAAACAAAGCTAATACCATGTCCAGTGCAAACCACACATGGCTTATTCTCAGCTCCAAGAATCTCTCTTTCCACACTAAATCCCTGGCCAGTGAAGATATAAACAGGCCAGTGATGAGCCAGGCTTTACACAATCCAAGGCTTTATGTAGACCTTTGAAATAATTTCTTTTTAAAACATGTTTGTCCCCTCTGGCAATGCAATTTATTACTACTGTCTGCATTTTTTTTTAAAGTGTTGGAGATAGATGCCCTCATTTTTCAATTAAATATGTTTTCATCCTGAGTCCACAAAAACAGCCATGGCATTGACTAGCACCATCCTTCCTAATTTGTTTACTTACTCTTATTCTTTAATTATTAAGATTATGAGAGCAATTCCTAAATTTGCCACACTTTATTTAAATATTGTATGTAAAAATTACTGACATAAATTTTTAAAAATCCATCAGATTTGTGAATTGCATAATAGGCCAAGTAAATGATGGTTGGGCTAAGAACTGAAACCAATGCTTAGGAATCCTAGAAAAACATAAATACATTTAAATGTCCACTTAAGGGGTAGATAATGTAAAACAGAGTATTTGCCAACTTTGGGATCATCTGCCATACTTTTCTTCAATAGCTACCATCTATTAAAAGCCTACTCTATGAAAGGTGTTTCCCCACTCCAGAAGTGTCCTTTAGTTGGGTGGAGGCCCTATTGGAGTTCCTCTCCTGGCCTAGAGAGTGAGTTTCTGATCTGTGAGCCTCCTGTGTAATTCAGCGCCTCTGTCCTTGGACTGAACTGCCTCCAGAGCACCAAGATCCCCTTTGCCCCTCCACTCCTTCCCTCTCGGTCGATGTATTTGTGCCTGTACAAATAACTGTGGGTGCAGTTCCTGGAAGCCCACCTACCCAAAGATATAAGCCACACACTCCAACTTAAAACTAGTGGCATTTTCACTCTCCCTCTGCCAGTTCTTTCACCTTCTTTCTTAGTTAGCTCAGAACCTGGGTAGGAGAGCGTTGCTATTTGGGGAGGAGGAAGGGTTTTTCAAAGACCTCAACATCTTGAGCATTCTTCCATGAGCCTGAACAATGTTAAAAATAGCAAAATACATTTGGGGGGATAAGGCTAAGGGTGGGTGGCCTTGAGCTTCTGTGTGCTTTCCTAAGCATGGGCCATAAAGGCTTTTAACTCTGGCAGCTTGCAAAGCTTGTCCTGAGTCATGAGACTTATTTTATAGTGCACAACTACCTTTCAACTGTTATGGCAACATCAGGTAAGATGAACCGCATGCGTTATCTTGAATGTTCACAACAATCCTTACAAGTAAAAGTTTCATCAAATCCTAAAATGCCACTGATACCAAGGAAGAAAAAACACTGCCAACTGAACTATAGCATGCCATTCATTGTAGGACACATCAGAGTTTCCAAAATATGAAAATATGAAGAAAATTAAATGAGTCTTAATAGTCAGTGACCTTGAGGAGTAGCCTCATTTCTTACTCAACTGAGGCTCAAAAAGAGTAAATTGTCTAAGATCACATACATCGAAAATGGCAAAGTCAGGGTTCAACCCACCCATTTGGATTAGAAAAGCGCAGCCTCCCAAGTCTAACACATGGTCCAGGGCACACTACAATTTTTCAGGTAGGTGATTTATTTCACACACCAACATTACATACCTGTTGATCGCTGCAGACTCAATCTTGTGCTCAGCCTTTGGGAAACCAGATAATATGAAATCAGAAGTCTTCCCTCAAGGAACTTTCAATCGTCTTTCATGGTAAAGGAAAAAAGATACATAAGCTTTAAGAACAATTTTTTAAGCATATAATTAAGTGCTGGAATAAGTAGCACAGACTAAAAGGTTTTAGGTTTTTGGAGTAGAGTGGCATCAGTTCTCAGGTGGTTAAAGAACGCTAAAAAGGTGGGGGATGAGACTAAAGAGGGCACCCCAGCTTTGAATCAGGAGTCTGTGAGGGAATCTAGAGTAACAACTGCCAGTTCCTGAGCACACACTAGACTCATGCTGGACTGCCCTCAGCTCTTCACAAACTCAGCAGCACCACAAACTCTCCTGCGCTGAGTTTACATGCACACTGTTCGCCTTCTGGACCAGGCTTTCCTGGCTCGGGATCTGGTTACTGTCACGGTGCCCTTCATGCAACCTTTAATCCCACGTCCTCTGTGATGTCTTAAGTAATCCCCAGACCCAGCTGGATTTCTAGGCTAAGTGCTCTTAAACACTCTGCACCCCTGAATTCTTTGTAATTACTTACTTCAAAGTTTACAACTTCTACAGCTATATGGGGTGGTGCAAAAGTAGGTTTACAGTTATTTGTATGGAAAATAATACAATAATTAATAAATATAATCACGAATAAACCCTATGTTTTGTGTACTCACAACTGTAAGCCTACTTTGGCCCCACCCTGTACAGTGGACCCTTGAACAACATGGGAGTTAGGGGCACCACCCCTCGTTCAGTAGAAAATCCACGTATAACTTTCGACTCCCCCAAAGCTTAACTGTAGTAGGCCCTTTGCATCCATGGATTCCCAACTGTGGACTGAAAATATTGTTTTTAATCTGCAGGTGGTTGGATCTGCAGATAGGAAACTGGTGGATATAAAGGGCCCACTATATTTATTGGGGGGGGGGGCGGGGAATCCGCGTATAAGAGGATCTATACGGTTCAAATCCGTCTCGTTCAAGGGCCAACTATACATCCATTAGACCTGGCCACTGCATGGTGGCAGGGACTGTCCAATCTGTTTACCACTCTTCCTCCAGGACTCATACATAATAAGAGCTCTGTAAGTTGATGCATGATCATCTTGACTCAGTGTTTACAAGCCTTATCTCATTTAACCCTCACAACTACATTGTAAGGTAGGTGCCATTATTTCACCCATTTTACCAAGTGAAGAAACTGAGGCTTGAAGTCAGTTGTTTACTCAGAACAGAGAAGTCAAACTTCAGCCAGGTGTGCCTGACACCAAGGCATGCTCTTAGCCAGTAGGTCATACCCTCCTCCTGCTCCTAAGCAAAAGCATGGAGGCAGGAATAAACTGACAGCTGACAGACAGAGAGATTTACCTGGCCACAACAGGTAACGACTCGAATTAAACACGTATCGAGGACCTGCCACGTGCCGGGCAAGGGGCTCAGCACCTTCTTATTTTCATAACCACCCCAGGAGGTTGGGCTCATTAGCGCTACTTTACAAAGGAGAGAGAGGCTGAGAGAGGCCACAAAACAGCTAAGTAACAGCCACCCACACAGCTGGTGAGCCGCAAAGCCACGTGGTAGATGTTAGGTTTGGACACTGATGTACATACAAGGAATTTTAGAGGATTTGCGAGCACCGTTTTTAAAGATTTTTTTCTTTTCCTGGCTGTTTCCCAAGCTAAGTGCTGACTGTCTTTGGACAATTGACATCAGCAAATGTCCATTTCCAACATTTCCTGACCAACTCCGATCTTCAGTTAAGGGTTTTTGACGAAAGCCTGACAACACTTAACTAAAACACTAATGGACACGGCTATAATTAAATAACATTTAGAAAAGGCAAACCAATAGAATTGCACAGACTTGGCATTAGGTGCTGTTCAACTGGCATCTGTAAAGACTGTGTCCACATCAAGAGGTGGCCCTTCAAGGCAAATTATGTGGCTCATTTGGAGGGTAAGCCAGAGATGGAAGAGCCAAATTACTGATCAGCTCCTCAGTAAAATTGAATTTGACACCTCTTTCCTCAGGAGACTGGGAATTATCTTCCCAACATGCACCGTAGACCATCAATGTCAGCCCATCTGCTATATAAATTTAGATCTCAGTACAGTATGGAAAGCCTCTCTCTGCTGTGGTCATTAGCAGAGAGAAAAGCCTCCAAAGGTCCCATCATTAAATGAAAGTCTACAGCATCTGTCCCGCCCTCTGGGAACCCGCCATTTGTTCTGCAGCTCCTGGTGGAGGGCTGAGGGGGGAGACTGGGAGGCAGGCCTGGAAGCAGCGAGGGGAGGGCCAGGAGACCTCGATGCTGGCCCCACTCTGCTGCCCCCAGCTCTGAGGCCTTGGTCAGATTGAAAAACCACAGGGTTGCAAAGAATCTTTAGGATCTGTCAGTTCAGAGACGTTACCTATGTTCGAATCCCTTTAGTAACATCGCCGCTAAGTGTTGACTTGGTTTACACTTTACACACAAATGACAGAGAAATCACTACTTCCAGTCCTCCTCCGGTGCACTATCACTTCCAAGAACCTTGGAGAAGGGATCGTGGCCCAAGCGTTGGAGTTGGAGAGAACCTGAGATCCGAAAGGCAACTAACTCAACAATACTGGAGAGTGGGAAGAGGTCACTAGCCCATCTCTAAGGAGTTATGAATTATCAATCAAGGTTAGGTGGTCAGGTAAGGTTCCAAAATATAAAAAGTAAAAGAGGAGTCCTGGACATAACTGGCTTGCCCGTACAGCGAAAAGAAAACTAAAAACGCTGAAACTGTGATCCCAAATATCTTTAAGTGTCACTAATAGCATCAAGGGGTCCATCGGGAGGTAGGTCAGACTTAGGCATTTTCACACCCAGCTGCAGTGATCTCGGGCAAAGTCCTCGACATCACCATTCCCTCATCCACAGAATGTTAAGGCCCACGAGCAGGAACACAGAGGTGTGCGGTTTATATGATACGGCACTAGGTAAATACCAGGGGCTCTTATTACATAATAGCAAAAGCTGCTAATTACCAGGCACTTACTCACCGACAGGCACTGTGCTAAGTGTTTTGCACGGTATCTTATTTAATCCTTATAAGCAATGTGGTAGCTACTATTATCCCTGCACTAATTAAGGTACCTGCAAGCAAGGGAGGCTGGTTCTGCCAGGCTTAAACTGAAAGATCTAGGGGGAAGAAGTATTAGTGAGGAATGGATTTTTATTTTTTTTTAAAGATTCTGGAGTTGCTCAAAGAGCTAATCAATCCCTAAGCATCTAGCCCAGACTAGGCGAGGACCAGGAGCAGCCCCAGAAACCATCGCCGGAGGCACTGATGAACTTGCTCTCCAGACTGTAGGCATAAAGCTGCCTCAACACCATGGGCCCCTCTCTGTGGGTTTCAAATCCCTAGGCTAGAGAAGTTAATTGTGCCTGACTCAATCACATGCTGTGGACGGGAAGTGGAACCACACTGCACCAACAGCCCACCACTGCTGAGAAGGGGGGCTGTCTAGGAAGCCAGCGAGACACTATTAAAGGGTCTATGATGTTCACATGTTCACATTTTATAGGTGAAGACTCTGGACCTTAGAACGCATGTCAGCCTAAGGTCCCGTGGCTTGTAATTGGTGGAGCCAGGTGTCAACCCAAGTCTGTGATATTAAAGCAAGAACTCTGAAACTCCCACTCGAACACCTATGTCCACCCCACCCCCCCAAAATGAACCTAGGAAATCGCCTCATGAATATTTTCACTAAGTTGTCAAAAATAAACAAGGATTTCATCTTCATTTCCAGCAGAGGCCACTGCTGGGTGGTTATGAGCCAACCTCTGCAGCTACACTGCCAAGATCTGAGGCCTGCCCCCTCCATGTATCCGCTCCGTGACTATGCTCTCCAGGCTGCAGGCATAAAGGTGCCTCATCCAGGTTGTTTCACTGGCCCGGCTGGGTGTGGCTCGGTGGCTGAGCATCCACCTAAGATCCAGGAGATCAAGGTTCGATTCCCAGTCAGGGCACACGCCCGAGTTGCGGGCTCGATCCCCAGTTGGGGGCATGCAGGAGGCAGCCAATTAATGACTCTCTCATCATTGATGTTTCTCTCTCGCTCCCTCTCCCTTCCTCTCTCTGAAATCAATAAAGGTATATTTAAAAAAAAAAAAAAAAAAAGATTGCTTCACTTATTTGGGCCTCTTAATGGGCTACTGTGAGGAATAAGCGAGTTAATATATGTAGAGGACTTAAAACCATGCGTGGAGCAAAAGACCAGAATAGCAAACACGAGACTGAGGAACAACAAGTTGTAGGAATCACACTAACTGATTTCAAAACTTATGTTAAAGCTACAGTACTCGAAACAGCACAGGATGGGTGAAAGAACTGACACATCAGTCAGTGTGTCAGAAACTGGCCCACACAAATAGAGCCCAGTGACCTTTGACAAAGGAATAAAGGCAAATCAGTGGATAGTCTTTTCTACAAGTGGTGCTGGCACAACTGGACATCCACATAAAAAAAAAAAGAAAAAAGAAGAAGAAGCTAAACACAGGCCTTACATCTCTCACAAAAATTAACTCAGAATGGGTCATAGACCTAAATGTAAAATACAAAACTATGAAACTTTTAGAGGAGAACAAAAGAGAAAATCTGGAGGACCTTAGCTTTGGAGATGAGCTTTTAGAAAGAACATAAAAAGAACATGATTAAAGTTGAACTTAATTAAAAACTTCTGCTCTGCAAAAGACACTGTTAAAAAGTAAGCCACAGAAGCCTGCAGATATTTGCAAGCACATACCTAACAAAGGACTTGTATCCAAAGAACTCATGAAACTTAACAGAAAGTCCAATTAAAAATGGACAAAAGCCCAACCTTCATGCCAATGTTCTAGCAGCTTCATTCTTAACTGTAAAACTTTGAAACAACCAAGATGTCCTTAAAAGGCTGTCTTCCAAATTGCCAAGATCTGAGCAGAAATTTCATCAAAGA